GGGATTCCCATGACCCCCTCCTCAGTTTCAATATTTTGCCATAAGGGCTCTCAAAACTCAGGGAAATGCTTTACTTACATTTACTAGTTTATTATGAAGACTATTATAAAGGAGACAAGTGAACAGCCAGATGAGGAGTACATTGGGCAAGGTGTGGAAGGGTCCCGAGCACAGGAACAATTGTCCCTGTGGAGTTAGGGTACACCACCCTCCTGGCACGTGGATGTGTTCACCAACCCAGAAGCTCTCCGCATCCTGTAGTTGAGGGATTTTGGAGTGGCTTCATCACATTGGACGATTGATCACTAATTTGATCTCCAGCTCCCCACTTCCCCAATTTGGTGGGCAGGGGCCTGGAAGTTCCAAGCTTCTGATCATGGCTTGGCTATTCAGGAGCCATCCGGAAGCCTGCCTAGAGTTGCCTCTTTACAACAAAAGATGCTCCTCTCCCCCAGGAAATTCCAAGGGATTTAGCAGCTCTGTGCTAGGAATTGGAGACGAAGACCAACTATCTATTTCTTATTATATCAGAGTATCACACTGCACAAGAGAATGCAATGCAGCTCTGAAAGGGATCCTGAGATGGAGCCATCTCCAGGATATTTTATTAATCAAAAAAAAAAAAAGCAAGATGTGGATGTGATATGCTTCTTTTTATCTAAGAAAGGGGAGAGTAGTATATTAGAATCCTAGCTTGTGGGCGCCTGGGTGGCTCGGTTGGTTAAGCAACTGCCTTCGGCTCGGGTCATGATCCTGGAGTCCCGGGATCGAGTCCCACGTTGGGCTCCCTGCTCAGCAAGGAGTCTGCTTCTCCCTCTGACCCTACCCCCTCTCATGCTCTCTGTCTCTCATTCTCTCGCAAATAAATAAAAAATAAAAAAATAAAAAATCTTAGAATCCTAGCTTGTATTTTAAAAACCCACAGTGGAAGGATAAGCCAAAACCAGACGGAATGGTAATTTTAAGGGCAGGAAGGGACAGGGAGAAGCACACGTGAATGGAATCGGACTTTTCCGAGCACCTTGTTTTCCGGATTTGCCTTTGGAGCCTTGTAACTATTTAATATGGCCGTAAAACAAAATTAAATGGGAATTCTGCAAAAGGAAAGGAAATGGATAGAGATGCGTTTGAGCCCGGGGTGGCGGGGGGGGGGGGGCAACTGGAGTCTCTGCTGCTTTTGCCGCTCAGCAACTATCCCTTCTTACAGCCATCGAGACACCTGACCAGGCCACCAGAAGGCAGAGACAGGGCCAGATCTTGAAACTTCGGGGGCTCCAGGGGGACCCTAGTGGTGGTGCTGGGGGTTGTGGTTTTAGTATTTTGGGGGCATTTGATTGGGTGGCTCTCATCAAGATTCCCACAGCCACATTCTGCTGCATCCTTAAAGTGGGTCAACTTCCAAGCATATCATTCGTAGTGGCCACAATGAGTGCTTACCCCTCTAGCTCAGTCCCACCAACACTGGCCTAGGGCACACTGTTGCTTACAGTCCTAACACGCCACCCGAAAGGGGTTCAGCTTCCTGGCAAAGAGTTTTCCTGCGTGCGACCATGTTTCCTCCTCTCGGCAACTCTGGACCTGGGAATGACTGTCTTGGTGAGAAACCCAGGCTGGATGAGAATGCCTCCCATGGCTTCAGAAGGTGGCAGGGCCCCACCTCTGACTCTGGTGGCCCAGGCTGATGACTCCACGCTGCGGGATCTTGCATAGGGCTTTTTCTCCCCCCTTTGGTATTTGTCGTGTCGTTTCACGTAGGGGCTGAGGCATTGTTTGGGGCTCAGACCTACATGAAATTGAATCCCAGGTGTCCTGCTTTCTAACAACGGGCTCTTTATCAAATGTTACATTTTCCTCATCTAGCACAAAAGTACCTTCTGGAAAGGTTGCTGGAGGCAAAATGAAATGTCCCCGGTAAAGAGCTTAGTGGAGACTGTTGTTACTAGCAGGAATCATTACAAAAGACGCAGCACCCTGGAAATTCTGTGTTCTTCTATCTATTGCACAGATGGGTTGACTATATGCTCAAAAGCTCAAGTCTTCCTTGGCCTGGTTATCAAAGCCCCCTCCTTACCCTCCCATGTCTGACCCTGACTAGGACACACCTGGGGTGCTGCCTCATTTCCCACTGCTCTGGGACCCCCTGGTGCGGCTCTCTCAGTGGCTGGCTCAGCTCAGGAGAGGCCCCTCTCTGCTAACTGTTAAGGCTGGATCGATCCCCATCTCAGGGCCATTTTGAGGATTAACTAATCCATCACGTGGAGACCTTTGCAAAGTGCCAATATGGCCAAGGCTATTGTCAGGCCGACTGGAAACCGAGTTCACTGGTTTTCCTGGCTTCCAAGACACTCAAGCTGAGCCTTGCAGCTGGACGAACTCTCCTGTGGGCAAAATCTCAGCGTGCGCAGGTTGAGCTCACCGGCCGTCTGTCTGCCCACCTGCTGCCGAACCTTTTTGATCTACCTCTTTGTTTCTTTAGGGGACAGTGAGGGTAAGAAGATAAAGGGATCAGGATTCCAGACACCAAAGAGGTTTTGTTTGTGTTTCTAATACAACTGAATACATTACATTTTCCCTCTTGGCATCAGCCTATTGTCTCAAGACATAGTTCTGAGATTTATACCTTTCTGATTTTATGTTTTGTAAATCTCAAAGGTCCCTGGAAACCTACAGGGTATGTTTTTTATCCTCTGAGGTGTGATGTCCACAATACAAAAATGAATACAGGAATTCATTGAGTTCATTGCTGAGTATTTATTGAGTGCCTACTGTATGTTTAGCAGACACAAGCAGCTCAGGAGGTCCCCGAGGGGAAAAAAAGAAGTTCCTATGTGTTTAGACCTACTATGTACTAGGCTCTGTGAGGCACTTTCATTGCATCATCTCATTTAGTCCTGACAACTCCAGGAAATAGGTACTGCTATCCCATTTGACAGGTGAGGAAAGAGACAAAGTTCCGTGACTTGTCGAGATCATTCATAGTAGAAGCAGCCAGAGTTCCTGTCTGGTACCGTCTGGGTCCTTTCCACTAGAACATAGTGGGGAGCAGAAAAAGACACACACAGGTTAGTTAGTCAATGGCACAAAGTGACAGATTGTCAATCCTGGACTGCCTGGTTTGGGCTGGCCTGATGGTCAGGAGGACTTCCTGCAGGAGATAGCCCAGGTCTGACTCCGAGCAAAGGTGGGGGAGGATGTGCTATATAATGCTGGCCCTGGACAGAAATGAACTTGAGCACAGGCTGTGTTGAGAGAGCAGGTCCTGAGGTCAGCTGGGTGGGGCCTGAGGTTGAGGGGTGGGAAGCCTGGCAGAGCTGTCTGGACCAGATAAAGTGGCAACAAGGAGCTAGCAGGAGCTGGAGGGGGAGGCTTGGAGAGGATGACTCTGCAGTGCTGGCTGAAAGGAGTGGAGCTGTGAGGCCTGCAGATGGTAGGGGCCAGGCGGGTACCTTGGGAGGGGTCCACCCAAGGGGAGTCCAGTCCTCTCGGACCCAGGGAAGGGGGTGGCAGGGGAAGAAGAGATGGAAATCTGCAGGCTTTGCTAGAGGATGCCTTTGAGGGACAAAGGACAGGGAGGAGCATATTCCATTACAGGATGCTTTGAGACTCCCATCAGGTCACATCAGGCCTCAGTTCACCGCTGTTCAAGGTCCTCCTGTGGCCCGGAGCATCATCTGGCCATGAAGGCACCTCACACTCGGGCCTGAATCTACTTTGTAGGCTCTTCACCCACTACCCTCCTAAATAAATCCTCCGCTCTCCTCTTACTTCTCCCAGCCTCCAGAAGGGCCCCCCTCCTGAACCCCACCCCCAGCTGGCCTCCACAAAGCCCACCAGCCTGCCAGACCCTCTCAGCTTTCATGGCTATGACAACCACAGTGTTCCAACCACCTTCCATAGCTCTTGCAGCACCGTCTAGAATAATTCACATTTTACCGTTATTTAGCTTTTGCTCCTGGGGTCTCCCTAAGGTCACCTCCCTGGCCTTGATGGCTGGGTGTTCTTTTCACTGTAGTTGTCACAACTGGGGATGTCATTTTGCCTTTCAGTTTTTGTTCCCTCAGCTGCAAAATGGGGCCAATAATGTCTCACAGTGCCTGGCAGAGGGGTCCACCCATGACTGTGCCAGTCCTTTCCTCTAGCGTGGGGTGGTCCCCGGGGCCGAAGGAAGGTGGGGGAACCAGAACAGAAGGGGAGGACTCAAGCCCCCCCCCCCAGGAACCCTTCTTTATCCAGTTGGATCTCTGCATTTCTAAGGGACCACTGGCATCACGCTCAGATCATCTAGAAAGGGCACGCACAAGCCGTCTTTAAACAGCCATCACAGATTTCTCCAGCAGACGAAGGGATCTGGATTCACAAATTCCGGACGGACTCCCTGGGGCAGCTAATACCCCCTCCCAGGGCGGAACGACGGCAGCACGCGCTGCGCGGTCCCTGACTGTTTACAAAGCGCGTTTCGCTGACCTCCATCTCCTTGAAAACCTTTCACGACCCCGCAGGCTCCCTGTCATCACTTCCACTTGGCAGCAGAGGACACCAAGACTCTGGGAGGCGACGTGCCTTGCCCGAAGTGGCCCAACGTGTTGGCGCTCAAGGGCCCCCGCTGCACCCTCCAGAGGGGTCTGCACTCCTCGGGGCTGGGGCTGCGAAGGGCTGGAAGGCCGGCGCTGGCCCCAGGGTACCGCTCGCTTGGCTCCGGAGCCTGGGGGCGCGCGTGGCGATGAGGGGCTGATGCTCTCGGCCGCAGCGGGGGCAGGGGGTGCAGCCCCCAGACATCTCGCCGCCGCTCGGGAGGTATCCCAGGCGCGGCCCCGCGGGCGCGCGCCCCTCCCCCGCCCTCCTGCGCGCGCGCGCCCCTCGCCACCTCTCCCTCGCGCGCGCGCCCCCCTCCCGCCGCCACCTCGCCCCTCCCGCGCGCGCGCGCGCCGCCCCTCCCGCCGCCACCCCGCCCCCGCCGGTACCCTCGCCGGACCCGAGAGAGCGCGCCGCCGCCATCTTAGTTGCTGCCGCCGCCTCCAACCAAGCGCTACCTCGGCGGAGGGGAGGGCGCCCGCGGCCCGAGCGCGCGGCCCAGCGTCGCGGCGGCGGCTCGTCGGACCCCGGACTCGCCGCGGCGCGAAGCAGCCGGCTCCGGGCCGCGAGAGCCCTGCTCGGCGCCCCGCGCTCGTGCCTGCCGCTCCCGCCTCGGGCCGGCCGCGGCGCCGGGAGCCGGAGCGATGCTGCGCCGCCCTGCGCCCGCGCTGGCCCCGGCCGCCTGGCTGCTGCTGGCCGGGCTGCTGAGCGGCGGCGGGGTCTGGGCCTCGCGAGGTAAGCGGCGGGCCAGGGCGGGTCCGGGGGAGTCGGGGCGGACGCGGGGGGCCGGGGAAGCCGGGCTCCGTCCCCGGGCGGGGCGCCGGACCCCCGGGTGGCGGCTGCGCGGGTCTGGAGGGGACGTGCAGACGGGCCCAAGGGTCGGTCCCCCTTCCTCCGCAGCGCCTGCAGGCGGGGGTGCACCCCGGTGAGAGGCCGTGTACGTGTGTTGTGTGCTCAGATGTGCATCAGGCTGGGGGTGCACGCACAGTTTTTGGTGTGTGCTTACATAAGAGCCCACTCCTCCGCATCCCTTTCCAAGGATCCCGGTTCTCTGCTGCTGCACCGCGGACACCGCATCCTCGCCCCTTTCCGCCTCCTCCCGGGGTTCCTTAAATCTTGTCTGTTTTCGAACGAGCAGAAGCTGAAACTTCTCGCTCCCCACCCACGTTTCATCCAAAGGTGAAATTGTGATGAGGTTTACGATCGCGGTCTCACCCCGCGTTAGAAATCTGCATCTCCTCCACTCCTGACACCTCGGTGCAGTTTTTCTGACGGTGATTTAGATCGTTCAGGGGCTTACACACCCTCAGCAGAAACCTCTCTGATTCCTCGGGGCTGACATTATTGTACGGTTACTTGGCAAAAAAATATTTCTTAGTGAATTGTTTTGTTGTTGTTTTAACCTTCATCCACTTAACCTTTTAAACAGTACACGCTTTCTGATATTGACTGATCTTGCCAACGAAAAGCTTACGCATTGCAGATACTTGCTTCCGAATGGATCTTGGAATCGTAAACATTTTCCTTGGCCTTGGAGCCAAGTAATCTAGGTGTAGTCAATAGAGGACTTGGATCTATTCTTTTGATTTTTTATTTTTAATAAAAAAATCTGGGGGGGAGAGCTGATGGAAATCTAAATGAAACGGTCATATTTCATATTAGCAAGCTTTTAAAAAATCCTCATTTTCTCTTCCTTGGCATGACAGACGGAGTTAAGTATGGTGTTCACAAATTAAAGGGCAGAAGAGGCAAATGCGTCTTTTGTTCCGTGTTCCTTTCTTCACATTGGGGCTGATAAACTTTGAATACTTCGTTTCTAACATTGTTGAGTGTCATAGTCAAGTCTCAGTCACTAAGTATCTAATCGCTCTCAGTTTGATTTTTAAAAGTTACATCAAGCTGAGTTTGAAATGTTCTTTCCAGATGTGGAATGGAGGTCTGAAAGTCTAATATATCCAAGAGAAAATGTGAAAGTTCTGCTTCTCTTGGGGAAAACCCACACATTTCACAAAAATATGTGCTTGGATTGAGTATTTTGGGAGCAGTTCAAATATATTTAGTCAGTGATAACATTTCTTGTTAAAATCCGTATTTTCTTGTTTGCCCATTCACCTCCATTTGCTATTCATTATTGAATTACTTGGGTTATTCAACAAATATAAATTTCAGCTATCAAATATCTTCATTGTGGTGGACTAACAGAACTCTTATGTGAAAGATGTGTTGACTTTCTAAGCTTTTCTTGGTGCATTTATAGTATTTAAGAATAATTAGTCTTCAAAATAAAAACACAGTTTAGACATCAGTTATTCTGTTGCTTTTTTCTTTCTTTCCCCCAAGCCTGCAAGGTAGAAAATGTCTTGTGAATATTACAAGAAATGCTAATAAAATGGTTTCATTTTGGGGGGTTACAAGTGGATTTTATATGTAAGTATGCAATTTGTAGAGACACTTTCTGTGGGCTCATTTTAGAAGGTGATCGTTTCAACTAATATTCTGACTTTTTTATTGCTCTAAGACAGTATGACATGAACTGCTGGCCATACTCTAGCTACCTCTAATAATTATTAATGGGATAAATATCACGTATAGATTGCTGGAGAGAATGTTAGGTTAATATAAATTGCGTGTTGACTATTAATTAGTTGTTTAATAGAGAACTCCGAATTTCACTTTAATTTGTAGCTGTCGTTCTTAAAAAACATGGAGTAAATCAAAATATTAGGCACATCCTTGGCATGCCCTAGGCTGCCTGCTTTCTCTCCAGTCAGTCAATGATCAAGAAACAGTAAATTGAAATGGAGCATATAGAAAGCTTATGAATATATATATATATTTTAATGCGAGCACGGTCTGTATTTCAAAGCCAAAGAAATAATTTTCATTGTTATTGTCCTGTTTGTTTGCACACAGACTTCTCAGTGAGGCCTCCCCTCGCCATCGTCTGTGAAATTTCATCTCTCTCTGATCCCCTGCATCTTCCCTTCCCTGCCTTACTTTTCCTCTTTCCATAGCACTTGATCCCATTCAAACAGCCTTATTGTGTTTATTGTCTATCGCCCCTCGCTAGGACAGAGGCCCCGAGATGGAGAGGTGTTTGATCTGTTTTGTTCGCATGTGAATCCTGGACAACTCTTATCTCAGTTTCGACAGCATAGTATTTTTATGTCCTAATTTTCATCTGACAGATAAATGTTATATACTAAAAAAGGCATTACAGACTATAAAACAAACCTAAATTCTGCATTATGATATAGAAATTCATTAGTAGATAATTTTTCAAGGATCTTTGATTGCAGTGTTGGGGATATTAGACCGTAAAAATTTGTAGCAGCTTTTGAAGGCTGTAGCTTTGTGGCTACCACTCTGCGTCTATTTTTTTTTTTTTTTTTAAGATTGTATTTATTTATTTGCCAGAGAGAGAGAGAGGGAGAGTACAATCAGGGGGAGCGGCAGGCAGAGGGAGAAGCAGGCTCCCTGCTGAGCAAGGAGCCCCGTGTGGGGACTCCATCCCAGCACCCTGAGATCATGGCTTGAGCTGAAGGCAGACGCTTAATCATCTGAGCCACCCAGGCGCCCCTGAGTCTAATTTTTAAAAATACTGTAATTCTCTGCTTTTTTGGAAAGTGGTTTCTTAATTTGTTACCTTGTTTTTCAGAAGTAACTTTGAGGAAAAGTCCTTTGAATACAGACTTCAATATACTTAATCTAACAGTTGTATTGCTGGGAGTAAATGTCATTTATTTCAGATAGGAGACCTATAACTGCTAAAGAAATAAGATTTTTAAAAATAATTTAATTTATTTATTTATTAATTTTTTTTAGATTTTATTTTATTTGACAGAGAGAGAGAGAGTACGAGCAGGGGGAAGCGGCTGAGGGAGAGAGAGAGGGAGAAGCAGGCTCCCTGCTGAGCTCTATCCCAGGACCCTGGGATCATGACCTGAGCTGAAGGCAGAAGCTTATCTGACTGAGCCACTCAGGCACCCCAGATGATAAAATATTAATAATTCTGAATGTATTGCAGTTTAAGAGCTCTAACTCAGTTAACTGGAACCTTCAGTTAACTAGAGTTCATCTTCTGGCTGCAGACCCCTTTTAGGCAGAAAAGCATAAAACCAAGCAGTTTCATAGGAATTCTTTTGCAAAAGGAAGTTTTAGAAGTTCATATCATACATTATCTGTGTCGGTACTATTTGATTTTTAAATGAAAAACAATTAATATTTCAGTTTTAGATATGAAGAATATGACCCATAAATGAAATTTTTTTTAAAGATTTTATTTATTTATTTGAGAGAGAGAGAATGAGAGATAGAGAGCACAAGAGGGAAGAGGGTCAGAGGGAGAAGCAGACTCCCTGCCGAGCAGGGAGCCGATGTGGGACTCGATCCCGGGACTCCAGGATCATGACCTGAGCTGAAGGCAGTCACTTAACCAACTGAGCCACCCAGGCGTCCCATAAATGAAATTTTAATGAAATAAAACATTTTTGCATTCAAGTTAGAAAATGCTGTAATTCCATGATAGTGGTTTCAGGACTTGGCTAAGTTTATTAAACCATCTCTTAATGTTTAATGTGAGGATGTTAAAGTTTTAAGACATTTTTAAAAAGGATTGAGTGATTTTTTTATTTTATTTTTTTTTTAAGATGATTTATTTGACAGAGAGCACAAGCAGGGGGAGCAGCAGAGGGAGAGGGAGAAGTAGGCTCCCTGCTGAGCAGGGAGCCCGATGTGGGGCTTGGATCCCAGGACCCTGGGGTCATGACCTGAGCCGAAGGCAGTCTGAGGCACCCAGGTGCCCCAGGATTGAGTTATTTTTATTATTGCTTCCTCAGGCAGGAAAATATAATTTCAGGGCCAAGGGTAAAGTTTTCATTTATAAGAGTTGAAACAAAATAGGAGGTCTGATTATCCTGAAAATCACCAAGAGTCTATTTCTAACTTACTCTGGTTAATTGGGGCTTAAGATCATTATGCTTTAAAAAAAATATATGTCTTTTTCTGTGGTCTTGATTTGGTAAGAGCAGAGGTATTTGAAGATATGTTGTATCTTTTATAAATGCAATTTAAGATAATTGATTTGTTACAAAATGCAGAGTTTGGTACAGCTTCAGAAATAGGGATTCAAGATTGGGGGAAATGATTTATGCGGCGTTGTGTTCTAGCACTGTATAAAAACAAAACAAAAGCGACATTTTGATATTTGTAGAGACTGTGCAAAAGCCAGAGATGGGAACCCTCAAACTGACGACATTCCCTTGCCTGCTATGAGCTGGTGATGTGCTATGGCCATCCTTTCTTAGGGCCACCACCTAGGAATGGGGATACTGCATTTGTCCCCGATTTGATAGGTCCTTTCTTCTCTGTGTTTTAGGCGTATTTTTGTTCATTTTCTCATTTAGCTGTAGGATATCATTGTTAAAGTTTTTCACAAGATGTATTGCCAAGGCTTTTTCATTTCTAAAGTTTTATTTATTTTTTTTTTAAGATTTTATTTATTTATTTGACAGAGAGAGACACAGCGAGAGCAGGAACACAAGCAGGGGGAGTGGGAGAGGGAGAAGCAGGCCTCCTGCTGAGCAGGGAGCCCGATGCGGGGCTCGATCCCAGGACCCTGGCTGGGATCATGACCTGAGCCAAAAGCAGACGCTTAACGACTGAGCCACTCAGGCGCCCCTCATTTTTATTTTTTTTATTTTTTATTATTTATTTATTTTTAAGATTTTATTTAT